AGTATAAGCCTTTTGGAAAATCTATTTGTGGCAGCCACCACAAATAACTCAATGTATAGGAAACACTGGACACTGCTAGAGGTCAAATGGCCATAATAAGTGATAACAAAAATAAAAGATTTCACACATATTACACAGCCTGCTGCTTATAACTGCTTAAGAGTGCACTGGCCATGAGCGATGACATCGTGGATGCTATTGTCAGACCCACAGACACATTTCATGAGGAAAGTTAACGTGCACGTTATAATCAGCCCAGAATTTTCGTCTGAATTGAACGTGTTTCTACTTTCACATGTAAATTACTTGTTGCATTTATGAATATGATAACTTTTCGGCATCAATTCTAGTAGGGTAAAATGTAATTCCGCTTTCGAAATGGTCTGTTTTGCCCTGCCATTAGCTGAAGCTGTGTGTGAACAAGCCGCGGCTGCAGAGTGCGAGCTGCTCCTTCTCTCACGCAGCCTCAGAGGGAGTTCCGTAACAACGCTTAGCTGCCCGCCGGTGCAACTGCCTATAAATCAGCCTAATTTGCAGCACAATCGGCCGATGCCGATTAATAAAAAAATGCCAAAAATCGGCCAATTAATCGGTCGACCTCTATTATTATAATACCTGATAATGAGCTAATTAGTTACACTTAAGGGGGCTAATCAATATACAGTATATTTCAAGAAACTAAGACTCAGTTTTTCAGTTTTCATTTATATTTTAAGTGTAAATTCATTTAAATTTAAAATTGTTAACTCAAAACAGGTATTACACACTTTGTAATTAACATCTGACGCATTTATAAATCAAAAATCACAATTGAAATAAAAATACACCCTTCTAGTTTTGGTGTGTATCACTTTAAATGCAAATGAGCTACATATTCCTGCCCCGTCTCCAGAAGAGGGCGTAGCGTATACATCTGTCTGCTTAGTTTGCATACCTACCTGCAGCCGGTAGAAGCAACATGACAGACAGCAAGCGAACCGGTGTTTCAGCCGTACATATAGGAAGCCAATTCTATGCTAAGCACAATGTTGGACCTAGCCGCGCGACCACACTATCGAACGGACAGTGTGATGTGAACTAATCTCACGAGCGTGGCGCTGATCGATTAAAATACTTCGATAACGTATGCACACAAATACGGTTAAAACATTAAGCACTATAACGACTTGACATTCTCAAAGCAGTCTGGAGTAAAATAATTTGCGCAGACATAAACGTATTTAGGTAGATTTTGAGGCGCATTACCTTGAAAAAAAAAAGTAATCCACTGCGTCCTCAGTGGCTCAGATGTTCGGAGAAAATGTAGACTCATGTTCAGTCTTACATCCAAACACAGAACACCGGGATTGCTTAGACATTATTGACGTTACAGCTGCTCGAGAGCTGAGAAAATGGAGGACAGCATGCAAGCACTAAGGGCGGAAACTATAGCAATGCAGGGCTGTTAATCAGCCGCCGTGGCCCGGCCCTATGCAATGTGATGTCATATTACGTAGGGAAACAAAACAGCAGGCCTAGTGAGACTGATGTGATTTAATGGGGATTCAAAAATAATGAGTGGGTGCATTTTTATCATTGTTGGGTGGTTGTGTTCACACACTGCCAACACACATTTATGTCTAAACACCATGTGAAAGTGGATTTTGCATAATAGGTGCCCTTTAATGTCTCCTTCCCTGTAGGGCTGCGACAATAAATCAATGCAGAATCGATTCGTGGATCGATTCTGAGATTTTCCAGATGCATCGCAATTCTCTCTGGAATCGATTCTGAGCTTAGATTTTAACAGCAGATGGCACTCTAATCTAGTTTTTATTCGCAAACTCAAATGCTCATGAAGAAGAGTGCTGAAGAGCGTTTGTGCGTTCAGCTGAGTCATGCAATTTCACCTTGGCTCAGAATGCTTTTATGATGCGAGATTAATGTAAACACAGCCCACTGTGTTTCTAAAGCATCCAGTGCCATCTGCTGTTCAAAACTAAACTCAGAATCGATTCAAGAAAGAATCGCGATGCATTTGGAAAATCTCAGAATCGATGCTTGAATAATTTCTTGATTCGCGATGCATCAATTTATTTTCCCAGCCCTACTTCCCTGTCACGTTATAAATGCAGAACAAAGATGTATCCACCTGGGGAATTACATTTTATCCCTTTCCGATGGGGAGGAGATTTAAAACTGCCACCTTTCCATTTTAACAATGTGATTGGTCACTGGTGTTCTAATTTTTCATTTATATTTACACTGGTTTTAAGTAGAAAGTGTTGTCCATCCTGGTGTGAAACTCATTTGCATTGTGTAAAGTACAGAGTTAAAAGAGTGTCTTTAATATTTTAACTACGACTTTTTTTACCAAACCTCTTTTAAATGATTACAGTTGTTATGCCGAATACATAGAGTCCAAACGTAAGAAATAGTTGAACTATCACCACTGGATTCATTGATGTTAATAGGTCTGTTTGCTTGAACAGGGAGTGGATTTATTGTAGTTTTTAAGGTTTCCAAAGATGGGTATGTATGGATTTGGATGTATATTTGTTGCTTCTTTTGTTTTTATTGTTTTAGTCACTGCTGCTGCATTCAAAGGTACTAAGGAATTTTTATAGCATTCTCTGCTGAGTTTGGTTGTTTGCATCAACCTGTTATCCAGTTACAAATTCTTTCTCATGCAGAGGTGGATGCAACGTGATTTCCCTTCCTGTCCTGTACGAGATGTCTGGCATTCTCTTAGCAGCTTATCTGATGTTGCTTGGCATTTGTTTGTGCTTGTTCACCAAGATCCAGTCACAGTGTGGCACATCTTTCTCTACACTGGTAGTTAGAGAATGGAATGCCATCTCAACTGCTGTACACTACAGCTTTTTTGAGTCATCTATGATAGAGCCCGACTGATTTACCGTTGATTGACCGATAGAGCCCGATTTATCTTTTCATTTAAATTTATTTGTCGCAGATATATCGTATCGGCGAATATGTCACCAATATGAACATTTTTTTTTTTTTTTTACAAATGTTCATATGTCCTGATATATGAAATGATATAGTCCTGGGTAAACGATGAGCGCCGCCATTACGCAGATGAATGCTTCTAAATGGTGTAATTACTTAGTTTGTCCAGCAGAGTGCGCTCCATTGTTTGCTATTGGTGACCCAGGTCACTGTAGTGTAGAGATTCGCAGATGAGCTCAAACTTCACCCGAGTCCGCTGCTTCAAATTATCCACCCGCCACCGGAGCTTATCGCAGCTGTCAATGCTTGTGATTATACTAGCCCCGCCGCCTCCCAGAACTCATGCTTATCACATCGGTCACATCACATTTCCTAAGTCAGCATAGTTTGTCAGTACGGTCAGTAACGTAGCAGATTGAAAAGTTAGTATCTTCCTGCAGTCCAATAGATGGCAGTGAGGTGGTGGCTTGAGTCTGTTGAATGGTGATTTAATGCTACGTTGTCACCTAGTTGGTGAGATGCAATGCTATAATGTAAATAAACAATTTCCCCACCTTTTACTCTGACATTGAACTTATCATACTCGTTTGCTACATTAGTAGGGCCTTATGATTCCTCATGTTCTGCGTGCTCATTTTATTACCAGAAAATACACAACACAGAATTTGTGAAAAAAATATTATTCATTATTATTAATTTTAGATGTTTACATTTGGAAAAGCTGTGCTTCCTGCATAAACCTGCCCCTGTTGGATTGGCAGTAGCTTGTTGCCCTACACAGTTACCTTGTTTATTTTCTTAATTCAAGTTCCACACTTAATTCAAATATTGCACTCTGCAATATATATATATATATATAGTTCTATTTGTGTTTTAAATTTATTTATGATAAGTGAAGTGAAGTTTACTTTTAAGTGCACTGATGTCAGGCTCATTTTGGATAATAAGGTTTATTGTTAAATTGTTAAATACCCTGCCTCCATTACATATTTTTGTCACATCATTATAAGTGTTTGATCACCATTTGAGTTATCATTGCTAAAAATGTGTTTAGATATATATATAAAAATTATTAATATTTTTTTTTTTTTCCTGTTTATGTACATACTATATTCTAGCCTATACAGTACCAGTCAAAAGTTTGGACACACTGGAAGCGTGTGAAATACACAAGAATATCGGCATCAGACTTTTTTTACCCCCTAATATCGGTATTGGCCCCAAAAAACCCATATCAGTCGGGCTCTAATCTATGATAAATGTATGGATGTTTCAAAGACTGAGCTATAGGTTGTTAATGGCAGTATAACTTTCCTATAGCCATTTGGAAGAATCACTTGAAATTAATTGTTTGTATTAAACAATATCAGTTATTTGATAATTGTATAAGTTTAACTATCCTCTATATGTAATATCCTGCTTTTTTAAAGTATCAGACCTATGCCAATATCCTCATATTAATTATCCTATTACTGTCATAGTTATATGCCATAAGTTGAGGGTCTTGCTTTCTGTTTGTAATTCATGGTGCTCTTTTGGGTGTTTAAGCCTTAGAATGTTTTGCATTTTCACAGAAAGCATGAAACACGCAGTAATAATAATAATAATAATAATAGGAACATTCCAGAAAAAAAATAAAAAGGAACATTCCAGAGACGTAATGGTTTTTATACTGTACAAACTGTATTTTCTATTCCCTTACCGTAACCCTACCCTTAAACCTACCCCCCACACAAAACTTTATGCATTTTTAGGTTTTCAAAAACTTAACCAAAAATACAAAAACAAGGTCAAAATTTACTAGTATTACTTTCCTTGTGGGGACATTTGGTCCCCATAATATAGGGAATGCCAGGTACACACACACATGCAGTCCCTGTCAGTCAGGACATTTACATGCATGTTTGTGGGAAATTAAGGTGTACTCGTTACTGCAGGTACTAAAGATATAATGGTGATGTTGCATCTTTTTTATTTTTTTGAGTTTTTGAATCAATTAAGCTGTTTGAAATCCCAATTAACATTGTTCATAATTTTCACTTTTATTAAAGGACTTTCAGAGAACGATCCCCCAGTCCTGGCCAGAATCCCTCTACTCCCCAGTCCACAGACAGCCAACCAGCTCTGAGTGAATCCTCCAGTGTCCCCGTCATCATGGCAACCCCACCTAAGCGCAGACGCTGTGCCTACCTGGATTCCGATTCCACCCAATCTTTGCGTCGCTCAACACGCAATACATCTGGAGGGGATCGAGCGGCAGAGCCTGGGGGTGGAGGCAGCAGCAATGCCTCTCCTCAACCAAAGCGAAGGCCTGCTGAGGTGCAGGCACCACTACCCAAGTTCTTCCTCAACCTAGAGAAGAGTGAGTCACACTTTCTGTGTCCTGTTTTATTTATTTTAGCCAGAGACTCACAGCGCCTTCAAAACAATCCAACCGAGGTGCGTAGACCAAAAAAGTTTCCCAAAGAGTAAAATACTTGAAAAAAGCCCGCACACTCTCAAAAATCAAAAGTCACAAGCGAGATGAAAGCAGTGTAAGCAATTGAATGAAAAAAACATGGCAAACGTTTCGGTCACATGTTGACCATTTTCAATGCCAAGCTTAACAGTGTTGGAACTGGGAACATCTTGATTTAAGAAATCACATGATGATTTAGGAGATCACATGATCAAACCAGAACAAGCACTGATCCAAAAAAGAAAAAAAACAAAAAACATGGTTGAATATGCTAGATAAAAAAATAAATAAATAAATAAAACAACATATTAAATTACACAATATCAAGAAATAAAGAAAATAAAAAAAAACAATTAAAGAAAAATAATAAAGAAAAGAAAAAATGAAATGAAATAAAGAAAAAAGAAATGACCACAACATGGGTACGTTTAAAGCAATAGATAATATACATCAAATTGGGGAACAATGGTTGTCTGTTGGAGTTGACAAGAAAGTACAATTCATAAAAAACATGACAATTGAAGTTCTTCATTTAATCCCTTCGGATATACACAGTCTATATAATAGATCCACTTAGCTTCACATTGTAACAGTCTTTTGTTAGAATCACCACCTCTTCTTGAACTGGCTCTTAATACCAGAACATTTCATATCACTAAGCTTATTATGAAAGTAAATTGCTTACACTGCTTTAATTTCGCTTGTGACTTTTGATTTTTGAGAGTGTGTGGGCTTTTTTCAAGTATTTTACTCTTTGGGAAACTGTTTTATTTCTTAAAACTGTAACTGTATGCATAATTTTAAGTAGTTTCATTTAAATCTGTTTCGAATATACATTACGTACATAATTATTATGTAAGTCTATATTCTAATCATATTTTTTTCCTAGCACATTTTACCAATTCCAAACCACATCAATAATAACTACTAATAACTACTATTAATTTTGCATATAATGATTTATAAGTTGTATATGATTGTTAACCCCCAGGGGTCGACAAATGCACCGATGTGTTTTGTGTATTTTTTTCCTGATAACGCCGAAAAGAACTTGCATTACTCTGTCATTTTTGAGCATTACATCATTCAGATCTGTAAAGGGTCTACTTTTATTCATGAACACAATATCAATCTATATCTATAGAAAGCTTGAAGCGTCAACCGTAGGTCTCTGAGGAGCATTTTTGAAGCCCAAAGTGGGCGGAGCTGGCCATTGCCATCTTGGCCGCGCATCACTCCTGGATAATCAAAAATGGGCAAAGAGGTGGGACGTGGGTGGAGCTGAGCTACCTGGTTGCTGAAACCACGCCCGCCTAGTTTGGCAGTAGTGACAGCAGTGGCGATCCACCTGTCACTCAAGTGGCCATGCCCTTAATTACGCAGAACTTTAAGACTTAATATAATTTAAATGGATGAGTTATAAAAAAAAATCACTCCCCTCACAATTATCATGAAGAGCTAAATTAGCTATATAGACCAAACCACTTTTTGTACCAGGCTGTAAAAAAAAAATTTCTGCTGTAATGTTGGGCATTTTAACATGGGGGGGGGGTCTAAGGGACTGACTCTCTTTTGGAGCCAGTCTCTAGGACCATTCGATGAATTGCAGTTTAAGTTACTTCCATGTTAGTTTCAAGAGAGAGACCAGATGGTTGCCGCTTGGTCAGTACCAAATTAATTTGTCTTATCGTGCTTGATAGTGTGTTCATATAGTCTACTGTAATGCTATCCAAAGGATGCCAAGAAAAAAGTGCACAATTAACGTGTTAATTTTGACTAATATATACAAAGTTCTGGCATGAAACTCTAGATGGCGCAATCTGATAGATCTAACTCAGTATGACATAATGACATCATTATCACATGGCACAGCTGATTGGTTCTCTACTGTATCGGTAGCCAATGAGCTCGCTACTCAACATTTAAATACTTGGCAGTATTTGCTGTAGCAGTAGCAGTGCACTTCAGAAACGTCTGAAATCAACATCTAAGATAAATGAATGCTCTTTTAATCCATATCGCTGTGTGTACTGCGTGGTCTGCCTAATAGAATTCAAAAATGAACAACCATAAACAAGGTTAAAATAAATGTCATGTTAGCAGTTTGCATCGTATGGAGGAGTGAAATATTATGCATATTAGCAGCAGGATTTACTAGGGCTGTGTATCACCAGTAAAGTCACGATACGATACGTATCACGATACAGAGGCCACGGTACGATATGTATCATGATACAGGACTGCACTGAATTTCACCTCAGCAGAATTTAGAAAAACAGCTGTTTATTAAACACTGCATACTATAGTGCCATTTCTAACTATTGGCAGAGCAGGCAGTTGACCTCTGCATTAAGAAAGGCCTCCATAACTGTACCACAGTACAATATAGGTAATGGCATATGTTTCATGTTTACATTGTGCACTCCCAACCAGGTACAATATTCTGATTGTTTGCATCTTGTTTTTAAGCCCATAAATAATAATGTACTCGTTCTAATAAATTTATATTGTAATGTACTCATTCTAATATATTTAAAAAAATCACTTACATTGCTGGTAGGTTATCATTTCACAAATTAACACACTCTCTACGATTAAAAAAAAAAATAGAAGAGTTCTAAACTAACGCGCTGTCTTCACTGTATCTAACGCACACAAGGCTGATTTACTCGACGTGTCCGCAAGTTCGCTTAGGTGCGCGCAGCAGGACTTTCTGTGCAGCTCCACTTCCGAAGATGCACGAGTTCAAAGCGACTCTAGCCGAATGTGCACGTCTGTGCCAGCATTTGTGTGAAACAGAAGCAGTTTGATGTTAAGTTCAGTCACACACACGGCCAGCTGTATCGATGCTCGTATCGTCAAATCTCTGTGACGATACATCGTCGTATCGATATTTTGAACACAGCACTAGCATTTACGCATCTGTACAGCTGGAGCAAACCGAGTGTAGAGCATGTAATCGCTCTAAGGAAACGCCGATAGACATGAAAACAGGTTAAATAAAATAAGCATATTTGTGAATGCATGTAGTGTGAAGGCCACTATTGTTAAGCCTTTTGGTGTGGTAGCCCAGGCACACATAGCCCATAGGCCACTAGTCTCAAGCCGGTCAGCGTGGTAGCCCAGGCACACATAGATAGTAATACATGTGGTTCACATGGCTCTTCGGAGCAGCAGCAGTACATATGTCTTGTCGATAGATCTGCTTTGTGGGGGGTGTCTTGTTCTATTCCTGTCTGTCAATTAGGGCTGCACAATAAATCGCATGTGATTGTCATGCGCATCTCGTCAGTAAAACCGGTTCTGTGATTAGTAGTAAATCTCCATCACGTGCTTTCAGATGGAGCGGCATTTAATACACAGAGCCGTAGATCACTGACAAGCTACGCAATATCGCGTTCATAATCGCAGATGAATTGCATTCGATTATAAACGCGATATTGCGTAGCTTGTCAGCGAACTACGGCTCTATGTGTATCAAATGCGCTAGCAGATCTATTCCGCCAAGACCAAATACATTAACATTGTCATGAATATTACCATGAAAATCACTCCAAGAGTTGTCATGACAGAAATACAAAGTTCTGGCATGAAACTCTAGATGGCCAATAGATCTAACTCACTATGACATAATGACATCTTCAAATGGCACAGCTGATTGGTTCTCTCCTGTATCAGTAGCCAATGAGCTGGAGAGAGAGAGAGTTTCATTGGGCGTACGCGCCTGGCCATTTTCCATTTCAATGAAGGTATGAGACAAAAGTCTTTTGAAGATTGCAAGAAGAAGGTCTAGTCACAACAGTCATTCATGCTGCCTACAAAGTGCGATGACCAGGAAATACGTTGACCCTAATCAAATCAGGATGCTTGTTTCTAGGGCTGCCCCTAATAGTCGACTAACCGTCAGTCGACCATAGGGATGTAACGGTATGAAAATTTCATATCACGATTATAGTGACCAAATTTATGACGATTATTAATACTATCACAGTTTTGTTAAATTTAGATGAAAATGTTCAAAAAGAACTGATACACACACTGAAAACATTTCAATAAGTTTTATATTTGAAAATCAACAAACAACAAATACAATTAGCAGCTATATGCACTTTTTTTTAGCATAAACATTTGCACGCACGCGCAGCGTTGTCAAGGTAACATTTGGTCAGTCATTCCCTTCGCCAAGGGAGTTTCAAACGCTTATACGAGACAGTAATATCCTGCACCCTTCAAAGAACACACTTCAAGGGCTCTGCCCTTCGAAGGGAGTGTAGGGCATAGGGATGCTCACAAGAGACATAGGGCGAATTCCAAACAGAAGTATCACCGCAGAGGCGCGGACGCGCTCTCTCGTTTCATTCAAATGCAGCTTGCCGTCTTGCGTCTCAGTTTTTGATTGTATTGGAAATGAAATCCGAGGAATTTAGTATTAATACTACTATAATTTTGCTGTAGTGATCATACTGTCCTGTCCCCTTTTGCAGCGTCTTTCTTCTTGCAAGATCAGCAGACAGGGTGACCGTCCTCGATTAAATTGCCTTCAGGACTCTCGTTAAAGCCAAAATACGACCACCGATTTGGTCCTCTTAGATGGCTGAAAAATCTCCCGAGCGCTGTCACTGCCTTCCGCCATTTCGTCTTGTGCAAAAAAAAACAACAACAACATTGCATGCTGCTTTTGCGTCAGACTGATGCTGGCTGGACAGGATTTACTGCGAATTTTCAAAATCGCGATAATCAAATACGGTTTTGATGATAATTACATTTTAAACAATAATACTAACCGTCAGGGCATTTTATCGTGATTTATCGTGAAACCGGTAATCGTTCCATCCCTAGTCGACCAGAAGAGGCTTGGTCGACCAAAATTTTATTAGTCGCAGAAAAAAAATCCACATTTGCAA